GGGTAATAAGTAGTATCATGATAGATGGAGAAAGTATTGAAATTGTTAATAATATCATCTTGCTTGGATCCACAATCACCACTCTTTTTTTTTATTAAATTTTTATTTTATTTTATTATTTTTGTGTGCGTGTACCGTCAAATCAGATCTGACTGGTACAGGAGGAGATTGCTCCTCCTTCCCCAGCAGAGCATCTGGTGGATTCGAACCGTGCACCTCTGGGATTGTAGTTGCAGCTTCTTGCCACTAGGCCACCAGAGCTCCCCTCACCACTCTTGATATTAGCAGTCAGGAAACCAAAAGGTGAGTTGCACTGGGGAAATCTGCTGTCAACGATCTCTTCAGAGTGCTAATGAGCAACAGTGTCTGTCTAAAAACTAAGATGTATCTGATCCAGGCCATGGTCTTCTCAATTTCTTGCTGTGCATCTCAGAAATGGAAAATGAATAAAGATGATAGAAGCAGAATTGACATCTTTGAGTTGTGCTGGAGAACAGTACTGAATATACCACAGGCTGCGAGGAGAACAATAGGTCTATCTTAGAAACAAGTTTGTTCCTTTCAGGCAAGGAATTTGAAGCTCCGTCTCACATAATTTCGGCATGTTGCTAGGAGGGTCTAGTCCTTGGAGATGGACATGCTTCGTGGAAGGGTAGAGGATCAACATAGAGAAGAAGACCCTCGATGGGATGGATTGAGACAGTGACTGTGACAAACGGAGTCAAGGCTAGGTTGATTCATAGATAGGGCAAGGTTCAGAGCCATTGTTCATAGGGTAGTTATGGTCCATAGTTGACTCAGTGGAATGTAACAACATACCACTGAATGAAAGTGGAAATGAATAAAAAAATATGAAATGTCATTTATACCTATTTATTCTAAAATAGTAATAAAAGTTCCACCTAAATTTAAAAAAAAATTTCGCTTATATTGGTTTGCTTATAAAGTTTGTATACATTGTGTTTCACACTCTTCTTCATTCACATTGTGTTTCATACACTCTTCCCATTCATTATGCTTTATAAAATTAATCACCGTTGGACAATGCCCACAATCACTGTCTTTTCAGATCCCCATGAGATCTTTCCCATTTCCTTTACCCGCTTCCCACCACCCACTAAACTGTAACCCTGTGATTTTGCCCTATCTGTCTTCACCTCTCTGCCCTCACCCCTTAGCCCCTTGGGTCCTCATATATGTTTTACTAGTTGTTGTAAGTGCCATAGAGTTGGAGACATAGCGACTCTATGAGTGAAAGTCCTGAATGCAAAACTCATCTTTTCTCCAAGTTCATAGAGTTTCCAGGGGCAAACTTTTTTTAGAAATGGATGCCACTCCTGCTTCCAAGCCTGTTTTATTCGGGAAATCCACAAAGAGCAGGTCTGAGAGCTGCAGCCCCAAGGGCCCAAATCTGATCAGCTCACACCCTGTTGCAAGCAGCAGCCATACCCTAGTCTCAACCCCAAACCAGAAAACACACCTTAGCAGAATCCAGTGTTCTACTCATCTTCCCAGCCTGGAAATAGCCTGTTTTACTAGTTATCCTTCCATTTTTAAAACAATGGTCTTATGCAGTATTTGTCCTTGAGACTGAATTAGATCACTCAGCATAATGCTCTCTTGTCTCTTCCAAAGTTATGTAGTAGTTTTCAAAATCACTGGTTTCTCAGTGCTGTAGAGTATCCCACTGTATGAATGTATCATGCTTTCTTAATCCATTCACTTGTGGTTGGACATTTAAGCTGTTCTCTTGTTCTTGAGATGGTGAATAATGTGCTATGAACATTGGTATACAAATCTCCATTTTGTCAGTTCTAATTTCCTTGGGGTATATTCCTAGTAGTGGAATAGCTGGGTCATGTTCAACATTTTTAGGAAATGCCTTCCAGAGTGGTTGTATCATTTTGCAATCCCACCAACAATGTATGAGAGTTCCCACCTCTCCACATCCTCTCCAACATTTATTGCTTGCTGTCTACTAAACTTTGCCACTGCTGGGGTGAAATGGTATCTCATTGTGGTACTGATTTGCATCTCTCTCATTGCCATTGATTTTGAGCATTTCTTCCTGTGGCTGTTGGACATCCAAATGTAAAGACTTTCTCTTGATATCCATTGCAAAATAGGCCAATCTATAGCCTATATATTCTGGAGATATTTTCTGGGAACTATGGCCCGTTATTATGCACCATGTCTCACAGAAATAATCAACAAAATATACTTACTATCCCAAGATAATGAGCCAAATTAAATGTATAATTATATTTATATTCCAGGTTCAGTAGAAACAAAATTTAGAAACTCATAATACTATTTATTTATGATACAATTCCCAATTAAAATTCAGTTTTTGAGACAGCAAAAAAAGAAAAAATCATTTTGTTTACTTAATTAAAGTGTTTTAACTAAATTATGCTTATTATGGCAAATGTTTTTAGAGGGAAGCTATACCTCAAGGTTAGTATTGCCTATCCATAAATAAAATAAAAGTTAAGTCTATTTTTATAAATCATCTATAAAATAATAACTAATAAATTACAGTCACATCTGCATTTTTCTTGGTCATTGATTGAAATATAAGGTTTTTAAGATGTGGATGGCACAGGAGGGGGTCCAGGTCGGCTGTTCATAGGATTACTATGAATCATACTCGACTCCATGGCACCTTACAACAACAACAATAACATGCCTTCTATGCTGTCTATCACTGTGCTGTGCTTCTCCTCTACTCATTACTTGTCTTTCACTCAATCTATCTAGTTTGTTCTCTGAAATTCTTATTCAATGACTTAGAAAATCCCCCAACAGTTTTCATTCATGGAAAGGGCAACAGCCTTAGACTTCTTGCTCTATCCAAACCTTAATTCTCTTGAAGGCACAGTTTCTTCTCTCAATCAGTATGGTCTATCAAGTATATTTCAAGTGTCTCTGAAGACAGTCTATCCTTCCACAGAACAGCTGATGGATTTGAACTGTGAGCCTATGGGACTACAGCAGTTTCTTGCCACTTCAAATTCAACAATTTTAAACCTAAAATGATACTTCACTCCAAATCAGTATCCTCTCTATTATTTGTTATTCAATGAATAGCACCATCATCCACAAGTCTACTCAGAACAGAATTTCATCTTTCCTTTATCGTATTTTTAATGAATGCACACACATAAAGTGTGTGTGTGTGTGTGTGCGTGTGTGTGTGTGTGTGTTTGTGTATATAACAGGCAGCGATAGAAAAAAAATCACATAATTTTTTTTTCTCACATAGACCAACCATGTATTTCACCATGCACATCTTATGACATTTCCAGAAACAAATTTTGGCGCCTTTTACTTTCAGTAAATAGGCAAAAAAATATACTTTTTGATCACATTTGTACAACATAAGTATATGCCATAGTGAAGAAATCAAGGATCAATTCTGGCAATCAGAAAATAAGCAATTAAAATAGTGTATTTGCTCTAGGGCAGTTTGCAAGTGGGCCTGAGAGCAGTGGAGTTCCCCTTATAGCCATGCGTAGCACTGAGAGGAGGAGAAGGTTGGAGGGAGGGTAAAATAATTTGGAGGTAAGTTAGCTAACTCAGCCAAAAATTCTACAATGAACACTTACAAAATATTGATATTCCCCTATATGATGAAGATATTCACTCTACCACTGTTTTAAATAACTCAATGGAACCAAACTATATATCTACAAAAGGAGATTGGTTTAATAAACTAAATTGTATCTCAGCAATTAGGTAATGAGTAGCCATTTGAAAGAAAAGGACAGATTTGAATGTAATAGCTGCAGTGACTAGAAAGACTTCCCAATCATTGCAAACACAGAAAAAAATCAAGTTGAATAATCCATTTTTGGTATCTTGTCATTCTAGTAGGGGAGGATACATGTATATACATAAGCATTTAAATATAAATAAGATCTGAAAAGATTTAGAAGGACTGAGAATTGACTTTTCAATGTTTACATATATATTTGTGATACTGTGAACTGAGTTTCCTAAAATATTTGTTTTAAAACCCTAATTATTATGTCTGTGGTTATAAATACCATTTGGAGATGAGTTGCCTTTGTTCTAGAAATGAGGTAAGACTCATATAGGATGCATTGTGCATTATTCTCTTGAGATAGAAAGTAGATTAAAGGTGCAAACAAGGAAGCAGAGAAGGGGGAGAGAGATGCCAAGACATGTAGAACATCCAGGAGCAGAAGTTAAAGTAGACAAAGGCCTTCCCTCTAAAGCTAACAAAGAATGCCTTTCACTCCAGTAAACACCTTAACATCATACTTCCTGTCTCTTAGGGAGTCTAATGGATAAGGTTGTCTAGGGGGTAAGGAGTTGTGCTGACAGCACAAAGTTAGACAGTTTGTAAACACCAGATGGTCCAAGGAGAAAGGTGGACAGTCTCCTTCCATGAGATCTACCACATCTGAAAATCTGCTGGATGGTCAGCTGTGAGTCAGTGGTACATAATAATGACAAATTATAAAAATATAAATTTCTATTTATTAATGCCATCTATTTTATTTCTGTTATAGCAACACTAGGTAACTGGCATGATACTATTTTACAAAATAGTAAGGTTATGGATGATTTTTCACATTCTCTTGGATTTTCTATTTCAAGTTTTTAAAATTAAATAATTTGTTATCTTTTATCTGTTACTTATATGTAGATTTAATTTTACATCTCCATTCCTAAGTGAGACCAGTCCTATTTAAATGTCAAAGTTACATTATCTTGAAAGAAATGAGCTAGTAACTTTCCATTTTCTCTATGCTATGAAAATTTAGATAGAAGTAATTTTATTTTTTAGACTTTCTAGAACTTAAAGAAGTTGATGTGAAGTCATTTGCATGTTTTATTTTCTGCAGGGTGTTTCTTCGATCATTTGTGTTAATTTCTTCTACACTTTAATCCAGATAATCTAACTACCTTCTGTATATAAATTAAATTTTCATATTTATATGAAATGACATTCACAGAGATACTTTACTTACTCTACTGTTCATGTTTTCTATTTCCTTTGCTCGTTGAATTCTCCTCATTTCTAGCACCTGCTCTCTCTTCTTTTGCAACCATGCTTTAAACACTATGTCATTCTCTTTCTTCTTTTCTTTCTCTTCTTCTATTTTCCGTTGTTCTTCCTAGTATAGATAAAAACACAAAAAAAAGATATGTTAAAGAAAATATACAGAATACTGTGAGTTATCAAATGAAAGATATATTCTAAGACCTAAAATTTAGATTCCCTTCTTAAAATAATCTACTGGAATATTGAGCCTCTTTATAATATGACCGAAATCACATGGTGGAGGGAAGGTATTTTTTAAAAAGAAATTAAATTATGGAGATAAAATAGGAAATTATATATACATATAATACATATAATTCTTTTAGGTGCCATCAAGTTGACCATGACTCACAGTGGTCTTACAAACAACAGGTCTGAACCTTGCATTATCATGTATCATCCTCATGACCTCTGGATAGCTCTTTCATAACCTAGTTTTGACAGTCAACTCTACAAATTACAGTTATGAAAGAAAACCATACTTTGGAAGCACTGTATAGTCTTATAGTATTATTAAATTAAAAGTGATAATGACACTGTAGTTATAAAAAAATTCTACAATTGTTAAGATATGCATACTGAACTATACAAGTGAGATATGAAATGCTGTCTAGGATGTCTTTAAAAATACTCTAGCCAAGAAGGAGGAAGAATTCCAGTGAAGAAACCCTCACATATCTAACTACCTGTCCTAGCCCCAGAGCCTGAAAAGTGAACCCACTGAGGTTGGCTGCAGGAAAAGAGGAGAGCTTGCTCTAGAAGGAATTGTCTAGAGATCATGAAGAATACCAGAGGACAGAGAAGGAACCAACTATCATTTTATAATGCAGGAATTTTAAAAAAATTAAAAAGGAGAAATATATGAAACAAATTTTCCAAAATCTTTATGATTACTGATATTTGGGTGATGATGATACATAATTTTTATTTATTTCTATGTATGTTTAAATTTTTTTTAATAATTTTTTTACAGAGGTTTTGGATTTCCATTCATTCATTGCTGCAATTTTCTCCCTTCCCACCCTTCCCCACCAGCTTGCTTCCCCCTCTGAAGAGCAAAAAAAAAAAAGAAAAAAAATCCTTCATTAGTACACAATTCCCACATCGCTTCCCCCCACCCCCCACCCCGTATACTTCTCTATGCAACCTTAATTCTGGATTCCTGTGCTAACCATAATACTCAATCACATATCACTTCTAATCTGTTTTTTCCCTCATTTGTTTCAATACAATATACATAATTTATATCCAGTTTTTTGTCATACCCCCACCCTGATGTCAGACCCATTCTACAACAGTGGCACCATGCAGTATTTGTCCCTTTGTGACTGAGATATTTCACTCAGCATAATGTCCTCCAGGGTCACCCACTTTGAATAATATTGCATGAGTTCCTTGTTTTTCAATGCTGCGTAGTATTCCATTGTGTGGATATACCACAGCTTCTCTATCCATTCGTTTGTTGATGGGCCCTCAGGCTGCTTCCAACTCTGCTACTGGAAACAAAGCTGCAATAAACATGGGTGTGCATATATCTGCTTGGATGGCAGACATGGTCTCTCTGGGGTATATTCCCAGTAATGGGATTGCTGGGTCAAATGGTATCTCTATTTGCAATTTTTTGAGAAAGCGCCACGCTGCCTTCCACAATGGTTGCACCATCTTACATTCCCACCAACAGTGAATAAGAGTTCCAGTTTCTCCACATCCTCGCCAGCATTTGTTGCTTGTGTATGTTTAAAATTTTTTATTAAAATGCATAAAAATATTTTTCAAGTAGGATATGTTCATAAAGTAACTATTACTATCAGAAATAAATTTTCAGACACTTGGCTAGCACTAAGAACAAAATTGATTTTTTTAAATTTTATATTGGTTTGCCATGGGTAAGTCTGCATTTAGGGACCTTTCCAAAGTACAAAGAGCAATGGTGTCTCTTTGGAGAACAAGGTGCATCTGATACAGGCCATGTTCTTTGCTATCACTTGTTATGCATCAGAGAGTTGGATAATGACCAAGGAGGATAGAAGGAGAATTGATGTCTTTGAGCTGTGGTGCTGGAGAAGAGTATTGGGGGTACCATGGACTGCTAGGAAAACAAATAGATTCATCCTGGAAAGGGTCAAACCAGGCTGCTCCTTGGAGGCAAGGATTCTGAGGCTCTGTCTAACATACTTTGGACATATTGCAAGGAGGGACAGGTCCTTGGAGAAGGACAACATGGTTGGTAGGGTGGAGGGACAGTGCAGAAGGGGAATATGAGGTGGATTGATTCAGTGATTGGGGTAATTGGGGTGGGTATGTCAGAGATGGTGCGATTGGCACAGGACAGAGCAGAGTTTAGGGCTGTTGTACATAGAGTCGCTATGAGTCGCAAGCACATAACAACAACAACAACAACAGCAACAACAACATATTGGTTAGCTTACAAAGTTTGGATACAGTGTTTCACACTTTTCTTCATTCATATTATATTTCATGGAATCATTTCCATGCATTGTGTTTTGTAAAATTAATCACCATTGGACCTTGCCCATCATTACCCTGTCTTGAGGACCTTACTGGATCTTTCATATTTCCTTTTCTCCCTCCCTCTATCCACCAAATTGTGCAACCCCGTGATTTCGTCCCTACCGATCCTCACCCTCTGCTCCCATCTCTCCCCCCTTGGGTTCCAATACATGTCTTACTCCTTCTATTTTTTACAATAATGGTCTTATGCAGTATTTGTCCTTGAGACTGAGGTTGTTCACTCAGCACAATGCTCTCCAGCCTCACCCAAGTTATGTAGTATTTTTGAAACTATTGTTATAAAAAAATTTCAAATTCATTGCTGTTAAGTACTAATCAACTCACAACTGGATCTTCAATGGGTTTTCAGAGGGTTTAAATTAGATGGGAGAAAACGATCAATCTTTTCTTTGGGGAACTGCTGGTAAATTTGAACCAAGAGAGAGGTGCTACCTTTGAGTAGCAGTACAACACTCTACAAACTAGACCACTGGAGCAAAAGATACTAAATATGAAAAACGTAAAATATTGATATAGTCTTTTCTGAGCCCCCAAAGAGTTTTATATCATAAATTAGAAATATATCAAAGATTAAATTGTTGGTTTGTGTTGTTGTGTACCATAAAGTTGGAACCAACCTATGGCTGACCCTCCAGTGGGTTTTGAGCGGCAGTTAATCACACAGGAGGAGACTGCCCATCCTTCTCCTGAGGAGCAGCTAGTGTCCTCGAACCACATGTCTTTGGGATTGCAATGCAGCTTCTTGCCACTAGCCCACCAGAGCTCCCTAAAGATTAAATTTTATATTTCAAATAAATTTGCTTTTTACAAAAGTTATGTGGGAATCTGCTTAATTTTATATGATTATCTTTCCTGAGGGAATATTTGTATATATTTACACAGAAATTATAAGTAATGTAGATGCAAAGAGAACACAGAATTTACTTGGGATACAGAGATACAGTTTAGCTCTCCAATGCTGCAAATATTTAGCAGCATTTAAGAAGAGAAAGTCTCCCCTGAAGTCAACTCAAAAATGTTAAAGGCCCTAGCACTTAGACTTCCTGCATCTAGAGCATAACCAGAGGGAAATCTTGTTATGAAGAAAAAAGCTTACCCCACGAACGAGTGTAATCCCCCCAAAAATAGTTAAAATTATAGCAGTGTTGACTAGTGAAATCAATTCAAGATTACCAATTCATTAGTGAGAAAATTTATACAAAATCCTCCATATAACTTTTGTAGAAATGCATACCCCATTACATAGTTGAGTCTTTCTCAACAAATTCTTTAGTATTGTTATAAAGTCCTGAGTTAACAGATCTTTTTAAGTATTGTTATATATCTGATGCAAGTAAACAGTTTGTTAAGAGTTCAGACTGTAAGATTTTAATAGCCAAATGAGTAAATTTCTACAAGCATGTAGCAGTTTGCACATTTCTGTCAGAATTTCCTATTGCTTACACATTCTTACAAGTGCTTACACATTCTTACAAGTTTGTTTTTCATCCTTTTAATGTGAAGTCATGATGTGAGTGCAAGAATTTCACCTGAAATCTCATTAGATGAAAAACACATCACTTTCTCAGTGAATATCAAGAGAAACAGACTTTTTTTATTCCAACTCTGTTATTAACAGAGTGATTTTAGCAATTATTTAACCTTTCTAGATTAAAGTTTTCTGTAAAATAATCTTTAAAGTACCTTCTAATTGTAAAACTTTATTAAGCTTTGAGTTTGCTGAAATTTTGTTATTTCATTTTATGTGCTTAAATACAGTTCTGCTAAGGGTATTGGATGAATTCTAGTCTAAAATGAAACAATTCTGTTAAGGGTATTGGATAAATTCTAGTCTAAAATGAAAATAAGCAATTGAAGGAATGGAAGATATGTCTCACACACATAATCTAAGACCACTTGTTGGCTTCTAATATTCAACAATTATGTGCCATTATTTTTCTATTTGACATCTGACTGTCACCCATTTTTATATCAGGGTGACTTTCAGCAGTCACTTCACTTCTCTCATCCTCACCTTCAGAATGAAGGGTTTAGAGAAAATCATCACTGAGATCTCTAGTTTTAACACAGGTGATTCTTTACCATGCTTTGTATTTCTTGCAAGAACAAATCAAGGTAACCACTGCTGTTTTCTTCCATAAATACACTCTTACTATTTAGTCCCAGTGGTAAGAAGCTGTGCTGCTATCCCAAAGGCACAAGGTTTGAATCCACTTGCTGCTCTGTAGGAGAAGGATGGGCAGTTTCGTCCCTTGTGATTAACTGCCTCTGAAAAGCCACTGGAGGATCAGCTATGAGTCAGTTCCAACTCAACTGCACACAGCAACAATGAGATAAAGATATAAATAAACAAAACCCCTAATACTTTGATAATGATTTTAAGTCATATTGCATTTGCAAAACACTACTTTCAAAAGATTGCCTACTGAACCTCACCTCTTTCTTTAGCTTTTCTCTTCTCTGTTCTAGCTGTTTTTGTAGCTCTTTCTGTCGAGGGGAAAGACAGTATGTTGACGTCACTGGAGATGTATTTGTAGAGCGAGACCTGTATTTAGATCTTCCGCTCCCTTTACTTTTGTCTGCACTGGCGGCAGAGTTTGGGCGAGCCTTAGGATTGACTGGTGGCTGAGGGATATAAGTCAGTGGCTCTACTACTGATGAGTGAGTGGAAGCAGGAATCTTTGCTGCAGCTTCTCCTTTTTTAACACCATTGACAGATGAGTTGGATGATCTAGGCAATAACTGCTGAGGTTCATTTTCTGTATTATTAGCATTATTAATGGGTGGCAAAAACCCCTGGCTCTCAATGTCTTGTAAATTCAGAAGTTCAAACTTTCCATCTTTCTCTACTAATATCTTCCTGTCCTTGTGTCCTTCACCATTTCCATTATTAAGAGCTAGGAGCACATTTTCATGCCCAATTTCTTTGGAAATGCTTAACTGTGACAGTTTTCCAGACATACTACTTTCATTTTCAGAACAATTTTTGTAAGTATCAGTGTCTTCCAGTGGTGGAACTTCTAGATCAACTAACTTGTCCTTGAATTTAAGTTTCCGTTCCCTTTTATCATTCACAGGCTCTTGATTCTGTAGAAGTCTGTTGGCTTGTATAATTTTCTCCATAATATATCGCCTTACTTCCTCATCCTCTTCTTCCTCCAGGTCTTTCTGGTTTTCCATTTTTGATTCCTGGGAAGAGTTGTCACTATCTGAATCTGATATTGGATCTGAAGATTGACTACTTGGTACAGATATAAAGTCATTTCTTCTTGATGTAACTTTATCTTTTAAAGACTCATCAGGATCAGAAAGCTGTTCATTGTGCTCTACTTCTACTTTATTCTCATTTAATTCTTGATTAATAGCTTCTTCCTTCCCCGAAGACATCTTTAAAAAAAAAAAAAGAGATATGAGGGTCTCTTCCAGTCAATATTGGCACTCTTTCTTCACTTACATGTGGACAATCCAAAATGAATTTTCCTAGCCACATAATTTATTTTAGAAATAGATACATTAAAGGGATTCTTACTTATACTTTGCATATACTCATATTCAATGCTACATGTGCATTCCTGCAAGAGGAAAACAGATATGTGACAAGAGCATCATAGGAAAAATATAACTCTAAATGTGTGGTTGCTAAATGCTACATTAGGAGGCTCAGTGTTGTCTCAGCTGTTATGTGTTGGGCTGCTAACTAAAAAGCCAGTAGTTGGAATTCAACAGAACCTCTGTGGGAGACAGACTGGCAGTCTCTTCCTGAAGACATACACCCTCCGATATCTAAAAGAGGGTTCCTACAAGTTGGAAGCAATGCAACAGTAGTAGTTTCTTTCTTCCTGAATGCTACATTGATTTTAAGAGGTTTTTATACTCTTATGTATCAAAATATAGTTATAAATAACTCATTATTTTACTATTTTTCCTCTGTAAAATTATCTTCTACTTAACACTTTTAGAAAACCAATTTCCAACTTTTCATCCTTGACATGTATTTTTCAAAACACCATCTTCCTTATCAGCAGAATTCTATTTCCACAAGCAATACATTGTCACTGCCTTTGAACAAGTTCTAATCATCTGATGTCCTTATAATGTCTTCAGTTTTTCACTGCTGCAGTTATAACATTCAAACCCGCACTATATGCCAATTTTTTAAAGATAATTTTTATTTATTTATTTATTTATTTATTCTTTTTATGTGTGTACCGTCAAATTGGATCTGACTGGTACAGGAGGCGACTGTTCCTCCTTCTTCAGCAGAGCATCTGGTGGATTTGAACCGCACACCTCTGGGATTGCAATGCAGTTTCCTGCCACTAGGCCACCAATAGATCAGACTTTCCTCCTTAACAATCCTCAAAGACTTCAATTATCCATGCCAGTGACATATCAGATAACCTGGCATTATATTACAAGAAAGATTTCTTAATGTCACGTGAACCATAAACCAGTATTACCTAATGACACAACTCTGTTCTGTATCTTCCTTATAATAAATGATTTCTTACTTCTCTACCACATACATACATCTCCCTTATCAAACATTACTAATTTTTTTTCCCTCTTAGACAATACTCACACTCCTCAAACAGTTCTATGGCAGCAACTATTTGCTGTATTCATCAGTCCTCTGGCATTTCTTCCTTCTTTTATATCCTCGCCAATAGAGTTTTCTTCCTAAATTGCACACCATTAATTAAGAGCTGCCCACTAACTACATAAACCTGATCCATTTAAAAGACTACCAAATAATACAATTTAACTAAGATATCTGCATTGCAGTTATTTTTAGCCTTATTTCATTCATTGTTTCTTTTCTATTGTATCTACATCCAAATTCTCCTTAGACTTGTACTTCTTTACTTTTTAAAAATTCACTATAATGAAACTGTCACTTTTGACAATGAATCTTCCACAAACCTGTATCCAGTTTGCCACTGTTTCCCCCACCAGCCTTAACAGAAGAGATGACTATTATCATCCAGTAGAACATAAGCTGCATGACTGAGGACACAATGTATTAACCAATACTACATCCTCAACTTCTAGAACTATCTCTGACACATGGTTAAGAGATCATTACTATATGCTGAATAAAGAAATTAAGCAATAAATCAATATAATCCTTGTTTATGTCTATGTATATGGCATGTGTGTTGGATCTCAAACCCTTCCAGTCCTTAAGTTTTGCTTCTACATTACCTTCCTGGGTATCTCTGTCACTACCGATTCTGTTAAAGATGTTTAAAAAAAATCCATATGAGAAAAATCCTCACTTTTGGCTCCACTGCCCATTTAAAATACCATTCATGTTATATGTCCTTTCCATTGCATAAAAAGTACAAGTGAACTAAGATGTAAAACCTTCTACATTCATTCTCTGATAGTCTTTTCCTTGCTCTTAAATCTGCCTTCTGCTGTAACTAACATGCTAATTACCCTCTACAGCTTTTACTTCCTAGTCCTAATCTTTTTCTTTATTATTTTCATTCTATTTTCATGTGCTTGTTTATGTATATAAAGATGATGTATATACACAAATACAATAGGGAGTTCGGGTGGCATAGTCCATATGGAGTTGTACTGATAATCCAGAGGCCGTTATCATTCAGTCGTTTGAAATCTACCAATGGCTTTGTGAAAGAAAAATGGATTTGCAGCCTCAGAAACTCAGTACAGTTTCTGACTTGACAGTAATGAGATACACATACATCATAACACACACATGAAAATAAACACATGTGTACTTGCATATATGTGTGTGAGAGAGCACAAAGAGGGAGAATCTTCCATGATTCTGGTTCGTTTTCCTGGATAAGCTCTTGTACATCTTTCATAAATAATGTATATAATAATTTTAACATATTTTCACTCTTTCCTAGAAGTGTTCATATATCACCTGTTCCTTTTTCTCTCCCTATACTCATTCCTCTGAAGAACTAGCCTATTTTTAGTTTCAAATATTAACAGAAAGACTATGCTTTTGAAGGATTTGCTATTTATTTTGTTTACATTAAAAGTGTAGAGTGGATTATATTTGGGGCTAGGGGGTGGGGTTTGGGGAGGTG